AGGAATAAAAAATGGTAAATAAAATCTTTTCCTTTCATTATTCTTAATTCACCTAACAATAATTGCTTAAAAGAATAGTAAAATAAAGTATGAAATGACTACAACATTTGGGGGTGGTGAAGTGGGTGCACAAAGACAGTGGTATTGTTTCATTTAAAAATGGATTTAGCTTCCTTAAAAATACACATAGGAAACTCTCAGGCTACCATTAAAATGGCTTTATGATATGCATGGTAATTAGTATGCATTAACCAGTATGGTAAGAAAGAAAAATGGAATCATACAAAATATTCAATTCAAACCAGAGAAGACAGGAAAGCCAGGGAAATAAACAAAGAACAGAAGTAACAAAGAAAAGTCAAAACATGGTAAATATTAACCTGACAATATCTAAATCACTTCAAATGTAAACGGCTTAAAAGAATGAATTAAAAGACACAGATTTTTAGAGTGGTGCTAAAAGTCCAATTTCATGTAATCTATAAGAAAGCTATTATAAATATAAAGAAACATGTAAAAAGAAAGGAATTAAGACATAGAAACCATGCTAACAACAATAAGAAGAAATCCAGTGGATCTGTATTAATTTTAGACAAAGCAGATATCAGAACAAGAAAAATCATAAAGGAAAAAGGAGGAGGATGCATAATAATAAAAGGTTAGTTTTCCAGAAGCACATATTTCTAAACACCTTCTCACCTGACAACAGACAAAAACACCTAGCAATGCTGCAAAAACTCAGAATTAGAAAGAGTAACTCACCCATTCACTGTTACAGTTGGAGACTCACTCCTCCCCTCTCAGTAATTGATAGCTCACACAGACAGAAAATCAGTAATGATATTGCTGACATGAGCAGCCCTATCCATCAACCTCATGTAACTGATAGTCATAGAATACTACATACAAAACAGCATTGTCCATATTCCCAAGCACGTTATCCTCTGGGCCATAAAACACATGGGAAGAAATATAATTTAGAAATCACACAAAATATGTTCTCAGACCATGGTGAAATTGAGCCAGAATCAGAATGGTTAGTCAATCACCACATATTTGGAGATTAAACAACTCAATTCTAAACATCACATGGTCCAGATTTGTAACATAACGGTACTGCAGTTAGTAGCACTGCAGTGAATAATGGTGTCACCACCAGCTTACAGTTAAACCTTCTGAATCCATCATACATGTGCAGTGGAACTGAGAAGTCAGTAAATGGTCCATGTATGGCAGTTGCCAGATTTCTCACTATCAGAGAAGCGTTTACAGATAAGCAAAGAGAAACAGCTGGAGTCACCCAGGTGGGGATGGATTAGAACTAGAGACATCAGTGTGAGTTCATATTCGGACTCATACAATTCCAGACAACTGAACATTTGAATATTTATAGCTATCTCTGCATAACATGGGGTGATATACACACCTTCTCCATCATCTTGGGGACCAGAAACAATAGTACCCCAGGAGCAATGAGTATATCTAGGGCCCAGACGTTGGCTTCTAACACCATTGCCCAATAAAAGGAACCAGGACTCCTTGCAGAAGTGGCAGATTCAAGTGGCAAAAAGTGTACAAGATGAACCTGAAGCACCCACTATTGCCACAAAGTGAAGAGGTACTCAGGACACACAGACACAGACACAGATATACACACACACGTGCTTCATGTTGATGCAGAAATGACAAAGGTACATGGGAGCCACTGAAGGTCACCTGATCATCCATACCAGAATAATTTCAACAAAAAATAATAGTATTGGTTCATTTCTCAATATATAAGAAAAATATCCATAAGCCTTGGTTGTATTGCTGAATTATTGACTAAAGAAGTGAATGGATGAGAAGAGACAGATTTCATACAGAAGATACCAAAAAAAAAAAAAAAGCCTTTGTAGATGTCCTGGCCTCAGGGAGGTGGAATGTCACTCCCTGCTCCTTCGAGGTGGCCACACACAGAAGCTGCCTTCCAAAGAGCCCTGTGGGGAAACCGGAGAAACTACATCAGGTCAGGAAATGCCCACCTCCACTGGCTGGATTGGAATTGCTAGGAGCAGTGATCCCTTCCCATCACTTCTGTCTTCCTTCTGAACGGGCACACCTACAGCTGTCACCTATCGCCTGTCCCCCGCTTACATTGAATGTGTGGGGAGGCCACCTTACCTCTTTACTTCATAAGTCCAAAGACAGCAGGAACTGTACTCCAGGGCTACAGCTGGGAGCCTTGCCCACACTGGAAACTGACTGCGGATGCTACAATTCTGGACTTTGAGCAGATGCTTCAGTGGGATGACTTTTAGGGATCTTGAACGGAAGGGAATATACTTTATATGGTGGGTAGACTATGACAGGCTGCCCCTGACATAGTGCCCTATGACCCCAGACTTCTGCTTCTCTCACCCTCTGAGTGTGTGACGGACCTCACAACTTTGCCCCCATCAAAGGTGTTGGGCTGTCACTTCCACAAGCAGGCTATAAATGGACTCATCTCGTGTCTACACTGTATCTCTGGCTCCTCTGGAATGTGTGGCCTGATCGACTGGACCACATGGCAAGGAGACAAAGTAGCTACTTGCCAGCTCTGGCCCAGGACTGAGATCTACCCTGCAAAGCCTTTGAGGAACTGGAGCCGGCAACCAGCTGGTGGGTACCCTTTCCTAGCAGAGCTTCAGCTTGCGACTTTTCTGGTGTCTAGTCAGAGATCCTGGGGACAGGGAACAGAGCTAAGCTGCACCTGGATCCCAGACCTTCACAAACTGAGAAGATAAATGTGCTTTGTTTAAAACCCCCATGTTTTCAGATTATTTTCTATGCAGTAATAGCTAAGTAAGGAGTTTAAGAGGATAGAAACATTTTGGAAAATGACTTATAAACTTCTCAAAGAAAAGCTTAGCCTACATCTACCTTAGAACCCACCATTTCCACTCCTAGGTTTATACGTGAAGAAGGAAAGCACAGGTTCAGAAGCAAACCTTGTATACAGACATCCAGAACAGCTTGATTCCTAATAGTCCAAAACTAGAACCAGCACATGTAGTCATTAGTGGAGAATAGATAAATAATGGCACATCCATCTAACAGGACACTACTCAGCACTAACAGAATGAACTGGTGAGAAATGCAAAACATGATGGCCCTCATAAACACTGTCTTTAATGAAGGAGGTCAAAATGTATGATCTCATTTACACAAAATTCTAGAATAAGCAGAACCAATCCATGGTGATAAAATAAAAACATGATTGGTGCTTATGGGGGGGTTATCAGGAAGAAGCCAGAAGCACCCCTCTGATGGTGATAGGGTGTTCTACATCTTAACAGGAGTATGGGTTATACAAATGTGTGCAATTTTCAAAACAGATCAGTTCATTTTCTTGTATGTAAATTACACCCCAACAAAAAGCAGAGGAAAAGAAAAAAAAAAAAAGGAAAAGAGAGTGAAGGCCCCAGTCCACTATGTAGGAATCTTTAGAAATGAAATTATTCATGTAATGGAAAAAATATTATTATTTTCCTAAAATAATGGATGCCAAAGTCAAACATATCTTTGTGCAAGTGACATAAGGTTGGTCAAACATCAGTGGCATCTTTCTCTTTCTCTTTAAAGTTTTGAAGCTTGATTAATAAAATATATATCCTAGCACATAGGTGAGCTGTCTAGCTTGGAGGACATGGTGAGCCTCTCAGGGTCTTTGACAGCAGCTTGGCTGGATCATTCCCCCGCGCCTGTCACTTGGTGCCATGGAGTTTATAGGCTAGCCTAAGGGAGGGGAGATACACTAGTGACTGCACAGATGGGAGCACTGAAGCAGACATGAACCATGGATAGTGTGTGACTTAATGGGAAGTGCTATGTGTTCCAGACAGCTGGCAATGCCAGTGCCTACCTTTTATCAGCACCTGCTCCTACGCCAAGAACCTTCCATACATCAATATTTCAAAGTTTTGTAAGTTGGAAAGTAACAGCTACAATACCTACCTCAGAGATGTAAGAATGAGAGAAGTAACTCGCCCAAAGACAGGCACTAGAAAGTGGCAAAGCCAAGGTTCTAACAAACGTCGGACTCAACAACAAAACTCTGTCCTCTGCAGTGTTCTGCTACCCATTTCTGCCTTCATTCGCAATTGTAGAAATATGGATTTGCCTTTGAATTTCAGCAAGTAAAAGTGACCAAACCCAATCATTCATCCTACAAAACAGGCATTATTCCAACTTGGAATTGGGAACATTAAAGAAATGACAATGGGCATTGGGAAATAACTGAAGAATTAGAAGAAATCTCATTTTTACTATTGAAGGATGTGCTTTCATCACCAAGCTCTGTGCCTACAGGGGCCAGGGCACCTCTTGTCCTCAGCCAGGAGTCAACTCCCTCCTGCACTTTATACTCAGAAAAGCTAAGGATTTGGGGTTGGGGAATAAAAATTGAGTAGTGCATCTTGATTTTCCATCCAGCCCATCCAAACTCAGAATCTCTGCCTGGAAAAAAAAAATTAGAAAAAAAAATAACCCTTTGCTCATTCGTATGGCTATGGTCTTGCTGGGCTGTTCAGAGTTTTGATGTTAAAATGTTGCAACTCGGTCTGCACGAAGTATAGGCTCTTTCCTAATTTGTTTTCTTAGTTCCTCCCACCTGTGTCCAAATGCTGCCTAATGAGATCAGGACTTCAAAGGTGCCAGGAGAAAAAGAGAGATTATAAAACAAGAGGGGGGCGGGGTCTCGGGGAGCTAAGGAAACTCGTTGCCCCAAGTCGGGAAGATGGGGCAGCCCTGAAAGGGAGCCCCAGCGCACCCCAGCTTCAGGACACCTCCTTCCCTTAGTGGTAGCCTGTGGGGCCCGTGCTAGTAATCCCGGAACATCCCAGCACCTCCTTCGTCCCTCCACTCTCTCTCCTTGCCTGTGTGGCAGCTCCTGGCAGAGCCGCGCATGCCACCTCTCGACCGTCCCGAGGTTTGGCGACTGGAGCCCCGAGCTTGAGCTGCAGGCAGGAGCGGGCGCCAGCCCTCTGAATTGCCCTCTTTAACCCACCCCTGCGAGGCGGGAGGAGCCGGATCCGCACTGCTTCCCGCTCCAGCCCCCGCTCCTGCGGGTGTGGAGGGGTCGGTGCAGGAGCCAAGCCCCGGCTGGAGTGCGCGCGGCTCTGGGCGCCGCGGGTTCCCACCCCTTGCGCGGGGAAGAGCCCAGTCCTACATCCCGGCTCCCCACACACCTCCTCAGCCCTCCTCCGATCTCTTTCTGGATTTGCCCAGCGTTTGGGCTTGAGCCCTGGACCAGCTCCCGGGAAGACAGCACTGGGCTGGACGCCCTCGGAGCCCTTGGCGCCGGCTCGGGTCCTTTCGGAGTCCAAGCAGCCGCGACTCCTCCCCAGGCTCTGGGCTGCGGATCTCAGCGTCCCCGGGCGAGGAACCCTGCAGAGACCCACAGCGGGAAGCGCCCCTCGCTCGCTCGCGCTCCTGGGACCGCGCTGCCCGGTGAGGACCCCTAGCACCTTCCCGGGGGCACTCACCGCGGCCGCCACCTCCCGCAACAAGCAAGTTTCACCGCTAGAGGATCCAGAACCCCCAACTTCGTGTGGAAATGAATCAAACAGCGGGAGCCTCCAATAACGTCAGGTGTCCCCCAGGGAAAGCCCACAAGGTAAGGGACCCACGACAGGCAGTGGTGACTCGGACTGGTGTGTGATCTGTGATCGGGGCAGCAGCCGGTCCCTCCCCAGCTCTGGCTAGGTCCTTTCCTCCCAGAGGCGGGGTTTGGGAAAAAGAGTGATGTTTGACAGACCCCAAACCCAGGCGCGCCAGGCTGTACACCTGCCCTGGGTTACCTGGGGGCTGGAAAAGCTAAAGGGCTTCGCGCCGGTCCAGGGGGCACAGCTGCTCCCCCGCTGGCGGGTTTTCGGGGCCAAGAGCTCTTCAGTGGGAGGAACCTGTCCCCCCATCAGACCCCTGGCCGAGCTGGAGGAGGAGGAGGAGGAGGAGGAGGAGGCGGCGGCGGCTTCCTGGGCTCCCCCAGGCGCCGCTTGGGTTGACGCGCGCTTCTTTAACATTAATGGGTCCACGCCTGCCTGGAATTCCAGGAAATCAGCAAGGTTCAGAGAAAGGCTGTTGGTCAGCGGCCCGAGGAATCCAAGTTGATCCTCTCCTGTAGCCAGAAGGTGCAGGGACAGGTTGCTCCACCTCCAAAAGGAGAGAACTCACCGAGGTCCGCGCTTCCCACACCGCCCAGTGTGCAGAGCAGGCCAGGCCCGCACCCAGGACTCCTCTCCATCTACCTGTGCTTCCGCTTTGGACGTGCTTGTTCCAAGGAAATTGCTTACCTGGGTTAGGCGGGAAAGCCACGCAGTGGTACATGCATCAATGTGCTTTTAAAATATTGTATAGTGTTTGTCATTTTTTAAAATCTGAAAGTTAGCAACTACTTTGGAGCTTCATAGTTGGTGTGCAGCCTGAATCTTCTCCTTCATCTTGTGTTCACGACGCCTATTTTTGCATATGCATTTTATGTGAATGTTTATTAGCAAATTAGAAAATTGCTGCCATTCATATCTATTTGTTGGGGTTTGGGGCTCGAAGGCGGAATTGATGATATTGGATTCAGCGGATAGATAAATTATTGGTGTGTTATATAAGATGAGCATTTAGGGCTGAGTAGTTTTATTTCAACTGAGTAATATCAAGCATTTTCTTCCCTTTTTAGATCTAGATGAAATATTTGAATCAGTAAGTCATCTCTGATCTCTGTTCTCATTAACTATCATTCTAGTAGTTACATGTTTCACATTTACTTTATTTAATATTCATAGGAAATGTCTTTATAATACCTAGTAGCTGACATTGTAAGATTTTTAAATTAAAAATAATAAAGTTTCATGCATCAGTGATTATGTAGTGGAGATGTCTATGGAGTTCAGAAGATCATTTGGTAATTTCTTTTAAAAAATGCCTTTGGCTGCAGTGTTAAAGTGGCTTTTTGGCAGAATTGGACTGCAAGGTACTGACACTGATAAAACTTTCTGGGAAGCATCAGAATGTACACCAACAATGTATTCGCTACTGTAAAACCTGTTCGTCACAAGTTGGCATAATCCTGTGCATGTGTCAAGTGTCCAACTAATACCTGGTTCATTGAATCACACTCATTCAATAAACTATCACCATCAAGCATTCACTGGACACATGTAAATACCTGCTAAGTTCTGAGAACTGAGAACCCCAGTGAGAGGTGAGATGTTGCTTTCAGCCTAAAATGCAGTCCTGATTGCAGCCCAGCTTTCTTCCTGCTTTAAAATCCATAGTGGCTCATATTGCTGAAGGGGAGCCCATGGCTGGACATTAACTCTGAGCAAAAGAAGTTGATTCCCTTTCTCAAAGGAAGTCGCTTGCCTTCAGCATGGGCGGTGCATCTTGGAGGTTGCTGCTATGAGAGAGCAATCTTGGAGAGTGACAAGATGGGAGATAGTACACCTGGGTGTTCTCTGTGGTGAGGGACAGGCAGGCAGCAGGGTGTTGACAGTCTGCAAAGTACTAGACAGCTCACACAATATTTAGGTTACAACATTTTTTAGGGATTGAACCCAGGGCCTTTACACGGAACTACATCCCCAGCCATTTTTAAAATTTTGAGACAAGATCTCTCTCAGTTGCTAAAATCCCCAGGCTAGGCTCAAACTTGAGATCTTCCTACCTCAGCCTCCCAGGGTGCTGGCATTACAGCCATGGATGACCACTCTGGCTACGGCATTTTAAAAAATAAAACTCAATAATATCAGTTGATTTTCTTCAGTGTTTGAAAGAAGTTTGTTTTCATTTCCTGTGTTGCTTAGAGACTCATCTTGGGAGACTTCCCTGAGGGGAAAGGCTATGACCACTACTGAAAATGTCCCAGCTGGACTCCCTTTGTCTCATCTCATTTATCCACTGGTGTCTGGTAACACAATTTAAACTTGCCAAGTCATTACGATTTGTTATTATGCAGAAAGATCTTGAGGAGCAAGATGATTACTCAATGAGTGAATCCAGCCATGTGTTACTTACCAGTGGGTTCATTCACAAATATTGAAACCCAGAACTGAGGCATACAAGATCCTTGCTGTAGCATCTTTGCTTCAGCATGCGGGATGATCAGCCATCTGCTGAGGGCTGCAGAGGTAACCACACTATCACCTCTGTCACAGGCAGGAGTCATACCTCCTGAAAAGAAAACTCCAGGCATCATGGTCGCATGGGTTGGGGAATGAAAGGTTTTCTTGTGGGATCAAGTGGTCCTACCCAGGTTGTGTTGATTTGGTGCTGGGCACTGTGACTAGTCTTTATCAAGTGCTAGTCACCAGTCAGAGGTGTTCTCCAAAGAGTTGAGGATGACCTAAGTGTAGGGTGCTGGCCAAGGTCTCATGCACTCCCTAAATCTTAGTTGCCTCCTGGAAATTTGGTCTTGAGCAAAGGATATAGGCTTGGGTTTTGTAAAGCAACATAAAGTACAGGAGAGATAAGATTGCACAACTTCAGTTTTGCAGGACCACCCTGACCTTCTGGGCAGAACACAAAGGCATCCCACACAAGATAACTGCACCAAAGGAGGACTCTTCTTTCAGCCTCTGTCTTGGAGAGAAAGCAAAGGCTTGAGTTGAGTCTTTTTGCTTTGAGTTTTTCTGAAAGAGAAACTTCCAAGCCATAACTTGATGGTCTACGTTACCTTCAGCAAGCCAAGATAATCAGTTCTCCATCTCGGCAACAGCAGAGGTCCAGAGGTCGAAGTTCAAATCATGGGCTTTGAGACCCAGCTGTACCAGTGACACCTTGGGTAGATTACTTAACTTTGGTGTCCAAGTTGTATGAGACCTACCTCATTGGGTTCACTAAGCTAATCCTTTTTGGGGATGGTACACAGGGACAGGTGTTGCTTTAACTTTGAGTGTCCAAACCAGGGAGTGTGGGGCAACGTCTCTAACCCTTTTCATGAACGTGGTTCAAATTGTTCAGGATTTTCTATAATAGCTACTTTTCAGATGGTCAGCTTCTCCAGAACAGGCCCCAGAGAAGAGGGCATATTCCTTAGACATATGGGCTTCCCTGTGAGATAGATGTTAATATGCTAAAATCCTGTAAGGAGAAAGCAGCAGAAATAAACAGATAGGAACTGATTTGATTTCTCTTTTATAAATGGGGGTGTGTGGAAGGAATATCGTGCATATATCATCTCTTTTAACCCTTAAGACAATCCCCTGGGGAAGAGTGTGTTTTCACATAGTCAGCAGTTGCTATTATGATGTCTTTGTACCAAGTGTGAACATAGGTCTCGGAGGCACAGAAAAAGTTCAGGGTATAAATATACACTGACTAAATATTTATAAAACAAAGAGGTCTTAAATGGCCTGTATTCTAATTTCAGATCTCATTTTATCTAAAATTCTTCACATTATCTGATACTGTAATCATTTATACTAAAGCATGTTGGGGCCGGGGATTTAGCTCAGTGGTTCTGGTGCCTGCTGCTCAAGCACAAGGTCCCAAGTTCGATCCCTGGTACCAAAAAAAAAAAAAAAAAAAAAACATACTAAAGCATGTTTTCTCTCTTTTTTGTCTACTTTTAAGATAACTTCCTTTGGTTTTCCATATTTGGCTAGTATGTGCCTAGCCATTTTGGGGGATTCTGTACCATCATTTTTTTTTCTGATACTGGTGATTAAACCCAGGGCCTGAGATACATCCCCAGCCCCTTTTATTTATTTTGATATAAGATCTCAGTCGCTAAGTTGCTCAGGCTGGGCTTGAATTTGCCATCCTCCTGCCTCAGCTTCCCAGACTGCTGAGATTACAGACGTGCCCCTTCATGCCTTGCTGTTATTTTTTTTTAACATATTTTTCTTTCTCATCTTTTTCTTGGATGAGATGCAATTGTATATACATTTACAAGATTTGTATTGTCTTACTGATGGACTCATGATTTAAACCACTTTATAATGATGTTCAAGGTAGCAGATCTCAAAAGCACATTTTCCAGTTTGTGAGATTCCTTTCCAGCCAGTTTGCCAATGAGGTCCACTAATTAATTTGTTGAGCTTGGGCAAAAATCCTGCCTGTTCGGAAATGTACAATTGAGGAACAAGTGTCTTGATGGTAAAGATCAAAAGGCTTCTTTCTCTTTGTGAAGATAGATATTTAAACATTACATTTGTAGTTCTCATTCTATCCTTTCCTTGTCATCAAAAAGAAAAAGGACTATGTTTCCCTGAAAATACCTAGCTGAAAAATAAAACTAGAGATCGAAAAATGCCGGCCCTGATCAGCCTGTCCTTGCCTTACCTGCCACCAAGATTCTCTTGCTTGGTGGCTACTTTGTAAATTCAACGTTCAGAACTTAGAATCAGAAGTTCTGCAGACCTGATGTGCTGTGGCCCCAGAATTAGTGGCATTGGGTTTCTATTGTAATGAAAGAGTTTAGCCTTTATTTTCCCAAGTTTTTAATTCAAACTTAATGTTGTTCTGTACCCTGAGGCCATATCCAGGGAAGAATGGCCACAGGTCTCATCCTCCAGGATTCTCTCTCCTCATCACCATTTTGTTTTCTTTGTGAACCTCTCGTTCTCATTAGTCACTGTCAAACCCTTTAATTTCTCCTTCTGTCAGTTCTTCCACTGCTCC